TAGTACCTTTTCAGATAAGCACATTTCATTTAATACTAAACTTACCAATAATCCTAGATGGGAAAGGCGCTGATATGCTGACTCTTTCTTTCTCACAGTATCTTTCTCTACATTTGTCCATTGCACTACTGAATGCCTCTATACAAGTCTTAAGCTCTTCATATTGCTGTCTCTTTTCCTCCAACGGCCTACTGTCTGCGGATTCGATACATAGAGCTATGGCGGACACTAGGCCGTCTTTGAGACGTAGGTAAGCGAGATCCTGCGTGAATGTTCTTGATTTTAAGTCGGGATCTTGTAGTTGTGGGGGCTCAAAGTTGACTATTACATTTAGGTCCCGGTTGTCGCTGTAAGAGGAAATTAATTTTATTTATTTGCATATTGCACATGTACATTAAAAAGGTTTTACAATAAAATTTTGTATAGTACATGACCCAGTCAAAGTGTAGAGTAAGTAAGGAGACTTAAAAACTAATTATTATACTTCATACTTAAATAATAAAAGATATCGAACGACGCGAGCTTTCCGTGAGTTATGACTTCTTCAGTTAAAAATTCATTTATAGAATAGTATGCTTTTTGGATAATAAATAATTTTTAATTAATTTTTAAATGTGTTAATTATTTTCTTTTTTAATTAATATTAGAATTTTATTATATATTAAAATGGACTAATACAATGGACTGTTGTTTCTGCACATTTCTAACTTAGGTTGCGTGAGGATCAGGTTATACTGGCGACGAGGGTTTTTATTAAATTCAAAATATTTTGGTTGCTTGCGGACAAACAATACTACTCTTTTTGCAGGATAAACAGCTCATGCGCGTGTGTACTTTGCCTTCAGAGAATAATTCACAACAATATGACCTTTCCTGTTCAGTGCGAGACAACGGTTATGCCCAACAATTAATTATAATTTTAATTTAATACCCACAATCGCGTAAATGCAAATCTATTGCATTAGCAGTGGAGCTCCTTGTCAAAGAGTTCGTCCAGGGAAGTACTGCCACCTTACCTATTTATACCGCCTAGCAGTAATGTGAGCATGACTGCCGTTTGGTTTTGGAGGGTTCAGGGTGCTGGTAAAGGAAACTTCAGGCACATGGGATTTGTCATCTTTATGTCTCGCGGTGACAGGCGCAATGTAACTGCCAAGGGTAACTTACCACCAGGCGCACGACTTCTTCATCTCGTCACTTGATAATCATAAGAAAAATACATTTACATTTTAACCCATTCGCGAATGGGTTAAAAATATTCAGGGAATATAATTCATATACAGGGTGACAGGTTGAACGAAATAAATAATTAAAGAGGTGAATGAGTAGCTAATACTCATACTGAATATGTAAAAAAACTTATTTTTTAATATATTTTTTTAAATTTTAAATTAAAGAAAATACTGCCTCGTAACATTTTGTAATACTCTGCGCGAAGTAATGCGTCAATCGAACATGCTGCGAGTGCCCGGCAAGGTCAAAACAAACCCTCAGCGGCCTCTGCGCAAGCTTTCCCACGAGTTTCGCAGCCCCACCACCGTTTGTTGAAGCGCCGGTCACCCTCTACCGTCCGGTTAGTTCATTTGCGCTTTTGTGTTAGACGTCGACGTGTATTTGTTAAAAAAAAACAAAGTTTTTGGCGATCTATGTCGAGGCGATGCGAAACACACAAAATGATTTCAATATCACAAAAAAACATTGAATATCAATACAATAAAAAAATTATTACAGGTAATAGCGACAACTCTAACCAGGGCTGGTAGCTGTATAGGTATCTAACTAGGTGACGAAATACCTTCATAGATTTCTCATAGATCGCTATGGCTAAAAAGTCGTTGAAAACCAAATACAAAGATCCGACAACCAGCACATAGAAAAATTCGTGAGGTTCTCTGGTTCGTTCCGTGGCTTAGTTGGCATAGCGCCTGTTACGGTTTGTTGGGAGATGTTGGTTCGAATCCAACCGGGTCGAAGGGATTTTTTCTAAGTGTTTAATAATTGTAACAAACAAGTGAAGTAATTTCACAAAAAATAATTGAATATCTATTTAAGAAAGATTTAAACGCAAAATCTTTTTCGATCTTATTACATACACATAAAGCCTTTTTTCATTGGCTTAATACGATTCCTTGTCTGTAAGTGTGGTGATTCCTTATGATGGGCCTTATACACTCGCATATAAGGTACTCACGTAGGTTCACTAGGCAGCTGGTTGGGTGCGTGCAGTGGCGCCGGAGGTCCGGCCAAGAGGGCCAACAAAGCCCTCTCCCTCGCGGCCAACGCGCACCAAGAACACGCCTCAAGGCGCTGACTCCATGCATACAGCTCTACTAGCTTCTCGAAAGTTCCGTATTTGTAGGCATACGTTAGATGTTCCACGCTCTGTGGAAAATTCTTTTTTTTTAAACAATGAACGCCGCATTTAGTTCCTGTACGGTGTGAATTAATTGTAATTATAATCGTTTGTCTCGTTGCTTTGTTCTTCTCTTTTTTAACCGACTTCAAAAAAAGGTGGACGTTCTCAATTCAACCGCGTTTTTTTTTCGTATGCATGTTTTTGATATTTTTGAGCCGATTTTGATGATTCTTTTTTGTTGGAAAGAGGGTTTCTCTGTATTGGTTCCATTTAAATTTGAAGAAAATCTTCCACCTGTAAGGGTGGCGAACTAGGGGAATAATTCGGTTTCGGGCACTTTTCTATAACCGATTTCAATAAAACTTAGCAAATAGATGTAATTCCACGAAATTATGAGGTCGGTTTTTTTAGTACTTTACTATACTGAGATTATTAGGTTTACTTTTGTATTTTTATATTTTCTTTCTATATATTTTTGTGTTGTGGCGTAGTTAGTAGCAGAAGAACTCGAAAGAGTTCCTCCAGGGAAATATTGCCACCTTACCTATTTCTGTCACTAAATATTAATGTTAGCATTGCTGCGTTCCGGTTTTTGAAGGGTAAAGGTGCTGGTGCAATTACAGGCACATGGGACTTGTCAACTTATGCCTCAGGGTGACGGGTCCCAGTGGCAGTGCCCTTCAGAACTTCGCGATTGAAAGCTCTAAGTGGCACTGCATCTGTCATGGACAGGCGTGTAGCTTACCACCAGGCGCACGACTTGTTCGTCGCGTCACTTGATATTATAAAAAAAAGTTACTTATGACGATCTACTTACGTCTTTCGCGTGGTGCGTGTGGAAGGCCCGCGTGTCGGCGAACAGTTGTAACGCCCGATGCGGCGCTGCAGCAGGCAGTCGCGCCCCGTGCAGCCAGCCTAGGGACACCAACTGCACGTGTTTCACTTCCAGACGAGTGTAGATACTGTCCGCCGCTATTGCCGCGCCTGTTGAAAAAGACTTAGCAAATTGACGATGAAATCACACGGCCTAACTAAAAATTCAGACGTTCGTTACAGTTTTTTAATTGAGACTCGACTACTTTGAGCGAGTTCAGCTACTAGTAAACACGGCCAGTGTCATTATTTGAATTTAATATCGTGACTTAATCTTGTATAAATACATTTTATTCACCTCGACGTTTCGGGCGTGTTGCTATGGCCATGATCTCGACGGGACTCTAAATATATTTATTACTCGATTAAGTTCCGATATAAAATTCAAATAACGTATGAAAATTGTGACAGTTTAAATCGCCCAGTGTCATCATGTTCACTAGTAAAATAGCAGATTGTATACAATCCGCGAGAAAATTTCAAGCCGGGCTACTTTACTCGCTACTCGCTGGCGTGTGAACTTGGCACCAAGTATCCCTGTCATGGTTCGTCTTGGGTGCTAGTGAACTTTATATGTTCCAATCCATATTAAACGTAATGTAAACAAAACGGTTTGGTTAATTAAAGGTAATTTCTAAGATAATCACTCGATAAATCGAATAATACTTTTACGTATATTTCGAAGATTTTATTTTGAATAGTAAAAATGTAGTCAAAAGGTGAGGTTATTTTTTAATTAATGATGTATGAATAGTCTATGGTTGCATAGTGTTGTAAGGAAAAAAACATTCAGTTCATTCAATTAAAGTTTTTGTAATCGATTAGCAAATCGAAAATTTTCAATCGTAATCGAACGAGTATCTAAGTGTTAGAATTTGAAGGAGGATTTAAAGTTAAGATTTCGGAAATTTTAAATATGCTTTTATAGGTTATGTATTTTCACTATTCATGTAAGAAAAACAGCTAGTATGATTCAATTAAACAAATCGATTCAATTAATTAATTAATTGGTTTGTTATTGGCATTACGATTGGCCATCACTAAACCGTCTATGGTTAGGTCAGTGACTTGTTTGTTTACTTTTTGTTTAAAATGGATTCAAACGAAGTATTAATTTAATTGTTAAAAGTTTAACTATACTTACCGAGCAAATGGTACAGCGAAATAAGGAGCAGTTTAGCGTGGAAGTTGGCAGGCGAATGATGTAGTACTAGTTCTAAAAGGCACAACGCCTCGAGTATGGGCGCGGAGCTTTGCTGCTGGGTTGCTGGAATTGAACATATTTTATTCAATTCTCACGCTCGTAAAGATTGTATAGACAATTCATATTACGTGTAACAACATTCACATATAATCACTTGCCTATCAAACATGCTAACTTTTCTATTGAAACTAATTTCTCATACTACCTTTTCTCAAAACAATACATAAATATCGCATTCTTAGGTTTTCGCGATTGTTACACATAGGAAATGAAACTATTTTTCCGGATTTAGCAGTTGTCCGGCAGTCAACCGTGACCATGGGACCTGTAAAGGGCCCGAAATGTCGGTTTATTTAAAAAAATAAATATACGCGATTTAAATCCGGAAAAATAGTTCCATTCCCTAAATACATAAATAATGTATTTTCTATATCATCACGCCAATTTACCATTAACGTTTGAGTATTTTCAATAACATCATAATATTGTGTCATTGAGATCCGGTGGTGGATACCTGGTGACCTATAACACTACAGGTCCAACCTAGTTTAGGCACCAGTCTTCCTCCTCGCAATTTTAACTGTACGATATGCCTTAGTTTAATTACCCTGTAAAATGTATTGTTAATAAATATTTTGTATTTTTTTTGTATGATTGTTGAGGCTAGACAAGTACGTGTTTTTCAACCGGAGGAGGCGGCGCCGACTTTTATAATTTTTTTTTGTAAGACTAACATCCTTCCAGGATTGTATTACTAACGTCATAAACAACAACTTTTGTTCCATGACTTTTAATGATTTATCAGATTTTACTTTTATACAAAAATAAGAATATTTAAATAGATCGCTCTATACGGTAATGACTCTGTGCGGTAACAAAAAGGAGACCTGCCTCCGGGTCGTCGAGGAGGACGTTTGCACGATTGATATTATCTAGGGATGGGTATCGATTAATCGGAATAATCGATGTCATCTGGTTCAATTAATCGGATATTCGATGATTTCAATAAAACTATATTTATTTAAAAAATAAAAATATATTTTATGTTAAAATTTGGAAAAAAAACCGCTTTGAAATCCAAGTCTTCATTTTATTTAGCCGATTTTCGAAAAATGAGGCTTGGGCGCAATGCCGTGGCACCAGAAAGATGGTTTACGTAAGGTAATCATAAAATTTGTCACCACCACCTTTGAAAAATTTATAATTATTACTGGTATTTATTAGTCGGAATTACACTACTATATTGTTAATTATTATTATTATTACTTGTGTAATTTGAAATAAGGCGGGAAATGAGGGTTATGTTACGACGTTTCTATGCCGTCTGATGCCCGGTTTTTGGAATAACGAAACGTAGAGAGAATCTGTGAGGTCCATTGGTAAGCGGATAACCGACGACCATCTGTCGCAGGTAGTCGGGTCAAAAACAATGTGAAACACATGTTGACGAATGGTTATTGTTAGGGTCATTACGAACGGTTAGGATAACCGAAGACAATGAGTTGATTATAGGAACCGGGAGTTAGTCAGTACATATTGAATTAATTTGTCATTTGTGTTTCATGTAAAATACTACTCTGAGTACAGTATCGATACTTTTGAATCGATACTGTGTCCCTGTGTATTGTGTCCTTCGAGGTTGTTAATAGTTTATAAATGAACCTGTATATTTTTCAGGTGCTTCAGAAACATTAAAACATTGCTTAAATCTGCGTTTGAGATTATTAACACATTTATTTTCTTTGATAATTATCCGATATACATAGGGCGCACTATAAGTTTCCGGAACTGGCCACTTACATAAACAATATTTAAAAGTAATTACAACATTTGAATATGGAACCATTTGGCAGTAGAATACAGTTTGTTACATCTGACTGTCACTTGTTTTTACATTGTGGCGTCATTTTAGAAATTGGTTGTCTACATCACCATGGATCTAACTTGTGAAAATTTTCGTAGTATGATTTTTTTACGACTTGTAATGTAATTTAACAGCCAAGCGCAGCTTCACACGGCTTCAAACTGCTTTTGGGGACGAAGCATCATGCAAGACGACTATTTATAGCTGGTTTGCAGAATTCAAACGCGGTCGTGTGAATCTCAGTGACGCATTTGGTGACGGTCGCCCGTCCACTGCTGTAAACAACAAAAACATCGATGCTGTGCGCCGTATGATCAAAACAGACAGGCATGTTACATACCATGAGATTCGGGCATCTTTAGGCATAGGCAAGAGTCAAATACAATCAATACTCCACAAACATTTGGGTTTGAAAAAGCTGTGCTCTCAGTAGATCACACACAATTTGACTGAGACTTAAAAAACGGATCGCGTCACTTGGTGCAATGCCATGCTTACCAGATTCAACGAAGGGGCGTCAAATTTGGTGTGGGACATAGTAACAGGTGACGAAATATGGATTTATAGTTACGATCCCAAAACAAAGCAGCAATCGAGCGTATGGGTCTTTCGAGATGAGCCGAAAGCAACCAAAGTAGCGCGCGTACAAAGTGCCTCTAAGGAGATAATTGCTCCTTTTTTTAACAAAACTGGATATGTGGCTACTCTAGCTTTGGAGAATCGTTGTACTGTAAATAGTGATTGGTACACGACCATTTGTTTGCCAGAAGTTATTGACAAACTCCGTAAAAATAACCGTAAACGCCGTATCATCTTACACCACGATAATGTCAGTTCTCACACGCCAGACAGACAAATATTTTTTTGAAGGTGAACAACGTTGACCTTATGAGCCATCCCGCGTACAGTCCCGACCTGGCACCTTGTGACTTTTATTTATTTCCAAAAATTAAGAACCAGGTCACGCGGTCGACGATTTTCATCACCTGAAGAGGCTGTCGAAGAGTATGAAAAATATGTTTCAGAGATTGTCACGGAGGATTGGCACAAATGTTTTCAAAATTGGTTCATTCGTATGAAAAAGTGCATTAACGCTAACGGAGAATATTTTGAGAAACAATAAATTCATTTCTGACCATTTATAGTATTTTTTTCTTAATTATTCCGGAAATTCACAGTGTGCCCACGCATATGCGACAATTATCCTGCTGGTTTATAGCATTGTCTTTTTAATTTTTAACCAAAAATGACAACGATGAGAAGACTAAATAAAGACGAAGAAAAATCTTTGGATTTTTATGAGATTCCCTTTGACACATTTGAATAGGTTTCTGACAAATATAGCATTTTGTTGTTCAATTACATATACATAAATATGACGGATAAATAGCTGTTAAAAGTATCAACTCTTTTGAAACATTGAATACTTGTAACAGCTGTTAAAATAGCTGTTACAAGTATTCAATGTTTCAAAAATATTTTTGAAGTCTTACCAGCAAAAAAATAGTGGTGTGCAGCCAAAATTCCGTACCCGTCGGCTGCACAGAACTCAGTAATGGTAGAAGTGACTAGACCGGCACTAAGACACCTTAAGTAATTGTTTCTAAGGGTTTCGGCTAGCTTGAGGCACTCTTCGGCGGTGAACGGCGCCGCAGTGAGTCGCCATGCCGCTACGCACGATATCTGACGTTGGATGTCGTCTACCTGTGACATCAATGGGTTCTTTAAAAATTCACCTTTTATTGATTTCTTAGAGTGTCTAGTGTATGTAAAGTGTAGCGATGCAATCGCGCTTTTGTATCGATGCAGTCGCGCGTTTGCATCGCTGCTTAAAGTCGCGCGCGTGTAACCGCTCTTAGGTTTCAGCGATTGTTACACATTGGAAATACAACAATTTTTTCAGACAAAATCGCGTAGTTTATTTCTTAATACAGGTTCGGCCTCCTTCCAATATAGATAGAGTATATTATACGAAATATAAAACAACTTTAAGGAAAACCTGAATATCATAGCATCATTATAGCTGAGTTGATATATAGCTGAGTGAAGAAATAGATTTCTCACAGATGGCGCTACGGCAAAAAAGTTGTTAAAAAAAAAACAAAACAAAGATCTGCAACAAGCACACTGAAAAATTTGTAAGATCCGCTGGTTCGTTCCGTGGCTTAGTCGGCATAGCGTCTTACACGGTGTGCTAAAAGACGGTTAGTTCGAATCCAGACGTATTGAAGGATTTTAACAAACTAGTGGAGTAATTTCACAAAAAATAATTGAATATCATTGTGGTGAAACATTCTAACATGCAGTAGATGAGCTAGTCCCGATTATACCAGCCGCGACATTTATGATGGTAAATTACTGCATAAAACATGTCAATTGTTTTAATAGTTTATATGCGTGTCTGCGCTTATGCAATAAACAGTTTTTTTTCTTTCAATAAACTTAATCATAGCATCAACTAAAACTATTTATTAGAAAATACGTTAAATCAGCAAACCACCTTGGGTTAGCATGGTATACAATGTCTATCCCCATAGACGTCTGCCACGAGACGGACGCATGCGCGAAGTCGATATACAAGGTTAGTTGTAAAGTATTACAAATATCGCAGGCCTTTATTACACCGCAACTTTTGTTCCATGACTTTTTAAAAGACAATAAATATACAAAAAATTAAATTTTACGGCATTTTTCAGATCTATAGTAAGGTAGTAAGTTACCCCACCCCCGCTTGCATTGGACTGGTATTTACGCTTTCTTTTGTTACCACACGAGTTATCATTGTTTAGTGCGGTCTATTTTAATATTTTTGTCGAAAGTAAAATCTGATGAATGACTAAAAGACATGGAATAAAAGTTGTTGTTTATGATGATAGTAATATAGTCCTGCAAGATTGTTAATATTTTACATATAACCCTGTATATAACTATATGCAATCGAAACCGACGGCATGCAGTCAACACTGACTGCCAGCTGTTCTGTGGCTCTAGTGAAAAGGGGTACAAGTAAAAAAAGACAACTTTACAAGGCGACGCGAAGAACAGTTAAAGCTTAATATTAAGCGTTAAGTAGGTATTTTTCGCGTTTTCTTGTAAAGTTGGCTTTTTTTACTTGTATTTGTACCCTTTTCACTAGAGCCACAGAGTTATCGCCGCGCGCCTAACTAAGGAACTCCGTGTATTTGTTAATGTCGAAATGGAAGCACAAATGTTTCTTGTAACTTGACACGAGTTTTGAATTTCCGATTATCGTTCACACCAACCGCATTCTATACTTGCTGTCGAAATGGCGACTGCACGCAGAACAAGTCTCGAATGCATGCAGTCGTCTACTAAGTTTTGATTATAAACCTCTCGCCTGTTATATGGGAAGGGCACTATTACTTGTACAAGCAAGCCTGCACAGGGACTATCCATCAGGTTGTGACCCCAAATCATTCTGTTGACACAGCCTTCGTCCGGTTTTCAAAAGGCTAGCGCTTTGTGTGAGTAAATGCATGCAATCGAAATCACGGCTACATGCAGTTAATCACGACTGCACACATTAAGTGCGACATGCCACAGACATCTGTTAGCAGCCTAAGTTGACCCAATGTGCCACCAAAAGGATGTATAAAGAATGATAAATGCCACATTTATTAGACTATTTGTTGCAAAGAAAACAGGAAACTAACTGTTTGAATGACTTTAATAACTTGTGAATACTTACATTGTCCGGTTCACTATTTTCATCGAATCCCATGCACTTCAAAAATACTTGACAATTGTCCTCTCGTTCCTTCTGCGTCAACATAGGCAAGTATGGTCTCAAATCAGGCACTGCACATGGTTTATGAGCGAACACTCTTAAATATTGCACACACAATGGAACTCCACTACCAAGCACTGCAGCAGGATCACCATCAACCGATAACCTTTTGTACAACTCTAGTCTTGCTAAATATGGTCCACGTAAAGCTCTACCAGAGGTAAAGTTCTCAACTAATTGGCATATAAATTCATGGGCTTTCTCTGGAGTATTATCTGTAGCATCATCATTATTTTCTTCCTTCATTAATATGAAGACCGAGTCTAAATACGGTACATAGTAGTCCCATCGATCTGGATGGTCTTGCAAGAGTGATTTGCAGATAAGATTGATACGTCTCCATAGACCGAGCTTTTTTAGATAAGGGATGGTTTCTTGAGCCGGTGAACCGGGTGAACCAGGCACCAGTTGTGAGTATAGAGGGCCTGTAATGATGTAATTGAAATAAAAATTATTTAATATAATTGTTTAATTATGGTTCTATTATGGAATATATTTACATGGGAACTCAATATTGAGGTCAAAATTAAGGAGGACACGTGTGCTGGCGTTTTGAAACTTCTAAAACTTGTGAAGTGCCTTTTATACGCATGTACAGGAAATAAAGTAATTTTTCTAACTAGTAACAGTTCAGAATTTAAATAGAAAGAAGTTGGTGGGAAATTATAATTATTGACATCACCTCTGTTTAATATTCAACAGTTGATTAACATGATAATGAATGATTTGTGTAACTGACTTTACGTAAATGTACGCAAATGCATAGCATCACCCTCACATCAGCAGACAGACGTCCACTGCTAGATATAGGCCTTCCTCAAAGATCGCAACCAGGGCCGGTCTTGTGATGAGCGCATGCAGCGGATTCCTGCAATTTTCACCAGGTATGTCTTCCGGTAAGGGTAAAATAAGTGCATAGCATACTTTCAATGAACTTTAGGATGTCTTCCCATTTTTCCTGGAGTTCTAATATCATGACGTAGAGTCTGGCTTCTTGCTCGGCCTCCATCTTTTTCTCGCTTATGAAGTTGTCTACCATACGCTGCGCGAGTGCGAGCAAGATGCCACGCTTCGTGCTGTCTTCACTTTCCTTGGCCTGACAATAAATATTGAAAATTAGAGAAATATAACTGTCCTTGTTTGTATGTATGTGATGTTTTGAATGGAGAAGCAACAATTAATGAAATGGAAGCAAATTGTTTTCCTTTTACTTAAAGTATTTAAACTATTAACTGTGCTCATTGTAAAATAAACGAACGAAAAAAAAAAACGAGTGATTAGTCAAACACTTTCAGGTATGCACAAATTATACAAACCTGTAAAACAATGCTCATTACGGCCCAAAAATAATAGGGGTTCTTGGGCGCGAACTTGTAGAGCGCCATGGCGGCTCTTTGTTGCGCGCGGTAATCACCCACCCGCACGTAAGCCATGAACAAGTGGGAGTGCAGTTCTTCGCTGAGTGGCTCTGCCTTCACTGCTGCCTCATAAAGCGCACACACTTTTGGCACTGTGTGGAAAACAGATTGACAACTTTAATTAGATTTTAATAAGACACGGAATAGATCCCCCAAAAAAATTGAGTTTGTTTAATAAAAATGTTCATTCTACAAAACATACAGTCAAGTCTCCCCTCCTGAATGGTTTGCTCCTTTTTAGGCTTTACATATAAAATGTAGTCTACTTAAAAGAGTTGATAAAAATTCATCAAGTTCTAGTGAAATTAAAGCATTTTCTTGGGCACAAGTTAAGACTGGAGTTAAATAATTATATTTGATAATAAACTCAGTAATTGGTTGGCTCAGGTAGAACTATTTTTGCTATTCACGACATGTGGTCATAATATGGACAGGCCTGTCTTTGCTAAGATTTATGGTTAAAATAAGTGCATATTTGACGCCCATTTTATCTATAATAACAATTATTTATTAAATATTATTAATTATAATTATTAAATATTGATGAACAAGGTAAAATTTTGAAAGTAGAAAATTTCTAAGCAAAGAAAAAATTATGCACTGTAATTTTTTTTTCTTATTTAGAGAAAAAATAAAGCATACATAATTAAACCATAAAGTTCCTGTCTCTAAATCAGTTAGGTACATATGTAAAAGAGTCATCATCATCATATCAGCCGGAAGACGTCCACTGCTGAACATAGGCTTGCCCCAAAGATTGCCAGACTAGACAGGTTTGTGTTCATGTTTTGTATCAAAAATTATAATCTTTATTATACAAACAAAACCGACCTCAAAAGTTTATGGAATTACATCTATTTAGAAAGTTTTATTGAAGTTGGTTACCCGTAAGTGCGCGAAACCGGATTCATCCCCTAGTTTGCTACCCTTAGAGGTGGAATATTTCTTTAAATTTGAATGGGGACCAATATTGAGGTACCCTCTTACCAACAAGAAAAGATTCATCTAAATCGTACCACAAATGCTGTAGTATTTAATTGCGTAACATATAACTGCTTCCGTGGCCGAACAGTTACCATGCCGCGCAGCCACGCAGAGGTCCCAGATTCGATTCCCGGGTCGGGAAAAATATTTGTATGGTCTACATTTATTTCTCTCGTGAGTTTGAGTGTCATTTGTGGTTGTCTATGTGTGTGTCCATGGCACCCGCGACGCAGGGTTTTCCTAGTGCGGGGCTATGTTGAGTGTTTAAAAAAAGAAAAAATATACACAATAAAAAAACACAGTTGAATTGATAACCTCCTCCTTTTTTAAAGTTGTTTAATAATAACAAAATAGTGGAAAAAATTCATTACAAATATATGAAAATCATTGTACTAAAACTTAATGATATTCAATAAACAATTATTGTAATATATATTTGTTAACATTTCTTATGAAATTGGCTTCAAAACAGGTAAAATATGTGATATTTGAAATACTTAAGTTATTTCAAATCTTTCCTTGATTTTATATATATTTTCAACTCTATTACACTAATTTTAGTAATATTAAAATAGGACACTAAAACTGTATAGTCTTGTAGTAGATTTCATGTCAAAAATTTTATTATATTTTCGTATATTAATAAAGAAATTCGTATTAACTTATTGTGTATTATTTAAATCTATAGATAAACACCCAAAAGGGTTTATGTTACATCACTTTAGTTCTTAACCTAATTTGTAATCTATTTGTAAAATAAAAAAGCTTTTTCAGTATTTAAAAAACTAGTGTTCATAGATAAGTGAGAAAACTGCATATACAATGGGGTGGGTATGTAATACTGCAGTGTACTGTAATGAGGAAACCTGACACCAAACAGCAGTTTTTATACCAAGGTTTCAGAAGTGAAAAAGAGACTTACACTGCTGAGATTCGCGGTACGATATTGTCATCGCCTGCAGCGTGGTATCATCGCTCGGCTTCTCTTCTGCCAGGGCATCCAACACGGCGAACGCCTCCGGTCCCTTTCCTAACCTTAAAAGTGCAAGCGCTTTCAATGCCCGTGCCGACTGCAATGAAGGACTTTTCTTAAGCACCTTCTCTGCTTCTTGCAATGCCTTCTTATTGTTCCCATTATCCAACCAGTCTGAAACACCATATTTCTTTCCAATATTACCGAAAATTTGCGCTTCTCCGCGGGAGATTTACTGTGAAACTGCAATCGATATACAAATAGTTTTTACCGTATATTGGCCGCAACCGACGCTCTACGATACTGCCGTCTTGCATGTTCTGTAGCCGCCCCGCCATTTTTCATTTATCAAGCCCCTTTTTTCCGAAAATAAATCCGTTTTCAGGACTTTTTTGGCTTTTTAACAACACGTTTGTTTTGCGATTTTGTCTATGGTTTGCTCAAATGACATTGACATTTATCGAAAGGTTGCCAGTAAAAAAAATCGATTTACCTCGTGATAATTAAACGTCCATTCACTGCCTGCAGGACAGACCGCAGCGCACGCAGGAGATTACTCACACATTATCCTGCGTACGGATTATGTATGAAGTCTCGCAGGACACATCGCAGGATTTACAGGTTTGCAGGATGGCTTGCACGCTGCGACTACATTCATAATCCTGCATTACGCGGCGGACTACATTGCAGCATAATAAATGCCCCTTTTATACGACGGTGTACAGCGTAGAGGGAGAATAATCTCCTTCTACGGTGAATAGGGCTTAGAGGACAGAATTGGTTTCTATAGTTTAAGGTACAGGTCAAGAGCACGTCAAACTTGACACTTAAGACTTCCAACTCTGTATCGCTTATCATAAGAATACAAAGTGTCAAGCTTGATGTGCTCTTGTGCTTAGTGTTTGGTCATGCAAAATTTTCCCTTTTCTCAAATGTTTTCCAGAAAAATAAATTTTATTCTGGGTATTTTTCCCATACTTTTCCTTTAATTTTCCACATTATACATTGACACCTGTCAAAAGTTGAAGTTACTGAACGAAAACGATGACTGTTCTTAGGGTCGTATTCTAGAACTCTACTCAATGCTCAAGTCAGGATTGCAATTGAAACACAAGCACTGGAAATACGACACTAATGGCAGGGACTTGAGTATGATTTCTAGTGCTTTAAATCACACTCAAGTCCTGACTTGAGCATTGAGTGGAGTTCTGGAATATGACCCTAAAAATGCTTGGAAAACAGCGAAAAAAACATTTTAAATTGGCCCCATCGTTTTCGTTCAGTAACTTCAATATTTTGTCAGATGTCAACATCAAATGAAGAAAAATATAGGAAAAATACCCGAAAATATTTAATTTTGTAAAAAATATGATTTTTTCAAAATGGACATATTCACATTCATCTTTATTTGTAAGCTAAATGGTAAATCAAGATTTTACAATTTTTATTACTGTACATACATACATGTAGTACCCTGTAAGGGCACCGCAAATTGAGAGCGCTGCTCTTGTTCATTAAATTAGAAAATAAATTTACATGCAAAAACTGCTAACATTTTACCATGACCCAACACTATAGAGTATTATTGTATAACTAATCGAAACCTCTTCCAAGCCAAAAATTAATTCGATTCGAATTAACATTCGAAACCTCGCACTCACAATTG